AGAAACGATTTTGTACGCCCGATACACGAAGCAAAGCAGTATAGATTCATTGGACATGCGAGCCATCTGCCACGAAGTATACATCGATCATTAATCACTAATTGCCCCAATCGTCCACTTGGATTCGCATGTTTTACTTCTGCCTAAAGCTATGTCAGCATATCAATCAACTGCCGCTGTAATGATTAGAAATCTTGATTTATTCGCCTTCCTCAGGGAATCAACCAGGCGTACAATGGTGCAGACGTCGAGCTCTGTGAACAAGCCGGCCATGGTTACCACGCAGATGTTGCGTCGAACTGTCGACGATACCACTTGTGTGAAAAGACGGCAAATGGCACCTGGCTTCTCCGGCATCTAGCCTGCCCTCCGGGTACTTCTTTCGATGACGCGAAGGACGAATGCAGTTCGAGGAATCCGTCCTGCAGCCTAACGGACGGCTCTGCGAGTGCAATTAATCTGGATGAAGTGGAACAAGTCAGCGCGGCTGCCACCACAAGCATTCCGACTTCTCCGTCGCCACTCGACGCAGCTGAGCAAATCGTCACCGACGTTGCGGACGTAGTCGCCGAAAAGGAAAACGCTCCGGCGGACGGCAACCACGTACCCGCAAGTCACGCTATGTGCCCGACAAACTTCGGCTATTTCCCTCACATAGAGTCCGAATGCCGGAAATACTACGCCTGCGTCAGGTTCGGCCAGAGCACAGTTGTAAAGCACGTCTTCGACTGCCCCCGAGACAAGCGGTTTGACTCGGTGAAAATGTTGTGCGTGGACGCCAGCCAGGCACCAGCGTGCCAATTTGCTCCCGCCGCCAAGTACCACGACATCACGTACGACGAGGAGGAAATCTTCAACACAACGTCACTACCGGCCGGTAACGACTATGGCTTAGTCGGACTGCTGCCCGTCAACCTCACGGTAGACGCTTTAGATCACATGATGGCGCGCCTGATCATGTCTTACATGCAGTCTGGCAAAAACATCACACAGGGAGAGCTCACGGCTGTTCAGAAGATCCTGTCGGAGACTCACCCGGTGCCCCTCACCGTACTCGCCACTGTCAAGCTGGTCAGCTCGACCTTTCAGAAAGTGCCCAACGCGTCGGAATTGATGGACATGCTCTCCATTATGAACGACGAGCACGGCAAATTCTTCGGCCCCGCCTTTCTGGAGCGCAGCAGGTCGGTGGTCAGGAACCTCACGTCCCTCGTTGAAAGGTACGGCGCTATACGAGCGTTGAGTGCGGCCACTTCTTACAATAGGCTGAAGAATGCCTACGAGACGGTCCAGGATAGCTGGTTCGTTCTCAGGAACCGCACCGCGCCCTTCTTTTACTCAGGTGAGGACAACGGGCCGGCCGATGACCCCAACTATATTGTAGCCTCCATGTTTGTTCCTTCGGAGCCTTACCTTGATCAAGCTCCGTCGCGCCAAGATTATATGGTTCATAAACTAATCGATGACGTCAGTGACGAACCAACGGCTGTGGTCGCCGACGTAAACGCTATAGTATCTGCTACCAATGTAGGCTCACCAGACGGTACAAACATTCCGGCGCAAGCTTTGAGCAAGTCATCAGTGCGCTTGAATCACCAGCACTCAGTGGAAGCTGTTGCGCCGTCCTCTATGGATATCAGGCGCGTTGGATCGAATGCGCAAGCACATGAGGAGCAATCTCTGTCTTCGGATAGGCCGAGTGAATCGAGACAAGCGCCTGTAAAGCAGGTGATGCTTCACGGTAATCACGTAGGAGACTACATCGGAAGTGGGCCAGAGCGCCAAGAGGTCACGTACACAAACATGCATCCACATTTGTTTGTGCATGACAACGAGAACTACGAGGACTACGACTATTTTGGCGACATTGAAGACGAATACTTTGTGCCAGATTTCGGCAGCCGTCACGAAGATCTCGCTATGATGTTGCATGCATAGGCCGCACCAAAGCCGTGCATCTTCGTGATGGCCAAAACCAGGTACAGCTGTTTGTGTGTTTCCAATCTATCTTTTATGTTTATTCCTTCTTTTATTGGCTATCTAAAGCAGCCCGAGGGACATTGCATGAGGGGTGTGCAAAAGAATAAACAGTAATAGGTGACAGTAAAAATTACAACAAATAATTCTTTACGGCAGTTTATCAGTGGACATGGTGATGTGGGCGGGAAGGTCATTGCAGTCTCGCGCCGTCTGAAGGATAAGCGATTTCTAGAAAGGTTTCGTTCGGGTACGTACGGGATAGGCGGCGTTCAGGTGGCAATGACGTGATATCCAATGTGCAGCTCTGATGAATGCATTGCCTTGTGGCAAGGGATGAAATAACTTATAATAAACACAAAGACGTAAAATTTTGTGGGGAGTGACAAGATAAGGAATGTTAAGCTGATATTTTACTGTTGTCACACTTATGTTTGTCGAGTAATTCGATGTAATAAATCTGGAATCATTATTCTTGATGGATTCAACCATGTTTGTAAAATCAGCTTGATGATAAAAAAAACGACATTGCGAGTGTTTCATAAGCTATTAATTTAGTATCGGTAGGTGTTGAGGCAAAGTTGCGTCGAAGATAAACCAGGATTTGACTAGCAGAATGAATAGTGTTAATAATATGTAGCGACCATGTTAAACCACAGGAAATTTGTACGCCTAATATTGAAGGATAGTGTTAGAAGGGGTTGCGCTGTAATAGCATAGAGTGTAAGTGTTACGTCAATAAAAAGTTATTGTAAAAGTTATATGAATATTTGGAGACATTAGCCAGTTTCCACACCATTCCTGCATAGTGTTGATATTCATCTGCTAAGTAGCAAAATGCAAAACCTTGCGATATAACATGCAATCATCACCGAATGGCATAATATTAGATTTTATGTTATGTGGCAGGTCGTTACTATGTAATGTTTGGCAGGTCATTAATATTTAATGTTGTGGGAAGCCGGACGGAACACTAGGGAGGTGAGACATGCAGAAGTTAACAATAACATACGTGCCGGCGATCATGGTCAGCAAAATTTATAATATATGAGCCTACGACGGGAAGGTACTGTTCAGAAGTGAGAACAGAGAAAAAGGCAATATTTTATTTATTAGTGGCATCTTATTTGGCTGTAGGACAACCATTGGGATCAATTAATAATATGCCTTCTGTCTATTCAGGTTAAATAGTCTTGCTAAACCATTTGGTGGTTTTCGGGCAGCAAAAATTGTAGCTTGCTGCCATACAATAATTATTAGCTTGCATGACTGATGTTATATAATCCTTGGCTGCAGTAAAGTACGTCTACCATGGATAATTGGGATTGGAAAGGCTTTGTGGATTTAAATAAAATCTCATCTTTTATTGTCAAGCGTTTTAGGGAAGAAAAGGAAAGAAGCAACAAAAAGTGGAGAGGTCAACCAGAAGCACGTCCGATGTCGAGGACTGGGCTTGATGGTGGCGACAATTTTGCTCTTAGCCGCAGCATCTAATTTTCAAACAGCGACCACTTAGTTTCAATGGAGTGCGAGTGAGAACGAATTGTGAATTGTTCGCAAAGTACATCTAGTTCATCAACCATGGAAGTGTAATCGCCTTTGTCGTGTATTGCCGGAGTTTTCTTGGCTTTGTTGTATAACTGGACAGGGTACTATGAGCAACAGGTCGATCACCAAGTGTTGCAGGAACATATGCTGGCAGGTGTCGGTAAAATTAGATCAAATGTGTCGGAAGAAAGAGTTGAAGTGTGTGTTGGTTCACTGAAAAGGTGGGATAGGCTGAATATAAGACATGCGCTCAGGAAATGAATTTCGCTGTTATTTCTTCACATTGTGTCTGCAGGGTTAGTCTACTCTGTCGTAATAAGGTCGAAAAGCGTCTTTTTCGGCACTCCGGACTGTTATGCCGGACCTTTGAATATTTTAAATGTTACAAATAGAAATGCGCAGTGCACAAAGCGATATTTTAGCTACTATTCCATCGCTTCGTTCTACGGCGGTTTACGCGCAGCTTTCTTTTTTTTACGGCTGGCATGTGAAATCAATGTAATGGCGGATAAAATTTGCCCACAGGTATAACATCCATTGAAGCAAAGAGACTACAATGCAGCACCCATATACTTTTTTTCATTCCTCTTAGCATGGAATGTCTGAATTGAACAAGCGTACTCTTCAGCGTGAATGAGCTAATTTGATCACATGTGATAAAAACTTTTATTTCTGTTCGTCTTGCTTGTGAAGTCTCAGAGGGTAAAACACTCAGTCCAGGACCCGATTAGCTGCCAATATAGCCAGCTGGCCCGGTCAATCAATCTCCACTGGTCGTCAAGGACTGGTCGGAAAGAGTGGATTCTCAGTGGGGAAAGGAAGGATTCTATAGGTTGGTTGGTGTCGGGACATTCACAAGTGGAATGGTACAAGCTTGGGTGGCCTCCACGCAAAGGACATTGTCTGGATAACGAGGGATGCAGTGAAGCGCAGGTTTCTGCGTGTAGTTGTCACCAAAGCAAATCTACGAGTATCGGTTGACTCCATTTGTTTCCTCCTCCTAATGAGTTGATGAACTGTCGCAAATGCTTATCATAGTTAACGGTTCTAGATACAAACTCACGCCGCATTGAAGTACTTTGCGGCGCCCATCAGGGCTACCCATCATGCAGGCCACGAACAAAAACTTTGCGTGACTAATACACAGAGCAACCCAATATACTGGCCACAAACAAAAGCTTCCGTTTCGTGGCCTGCCTTCCTACTGGACATATTCGATAGTTATCATCATCATTATTGAGCAATATTTTTGTGGGTATTCGAGACCCGTATAAAGATCATATCAATAAGAAGAAGAAGGAAGAAGAATGAGCGCGCGGTAGTAGACGTCAATGCGCGAGGGCGCGTGTTGCTGCTGGTGCTGAGGAAACGCAGAAATCGAATCCGGTTCCATAGTTATACCTCCGGCGCTCAGCAAGGAAATCCAGTTACAGCGGGCCACGGAGGAAGACCACGCCGCTCAGACTACCCGCGCCATGGCCTCTTCCACGGCCCATCTGCGAGTGAGTGTTCAATGTCAAGTCCCTTCCGTCGAGGAACTCGACAAGGCGGCGTCTCGTCGTAGCGACCACATCATCGCGGGCTCCTACGCAGTCGTGTCTCCCGAAGATGGTACAGCCGCGTGGTACCGGTACGGCATCTTCGTGTCCTCGTTGACGCTGGTCACGCTCGCGATGGGCTTCGGACTGTCTCACATGCTGCGGCGGCAGCTGTTCGGCTGCATGGATCCCGGCTGCTTCGAGGCGGCCACCACGCTGGGCAGCTCGCTGCAGGATGCACGTGGCGATCCCTGCGAGGACTTCTACGGCTTCGTGTGCGGCGGCTGGCAGCGCTCCAATCCAGTGTTCGCCAATCACTTCCAGGTGAGAACTCGTGGCGTCCTTAAGCGATACTACAACCGATTTTGATGCATTGCTAATGAAGGCATAGGGGTCATTATTTGTGGCCTCTTAAATCTATTTTATTACCTTCTATAGGTGTGTGTGGATAAGCCAAAGCGGACAAAATTATTACCGGTCTCAAATATAGGCACCACACCTGCAGCCTCCGGATAACGCGCATGATGCTCTACCAAGTGCAGGTTCAGCCCCCTGGCGGGGAGTTGTCTTTTTGTCCTCTTGTTCGTCACATTTATATCAATCATAAGGCAATAGAGTGTAAAAACTACAAATAACGCACCCTATACCCCCATTCGCATATATCCGAGTGTTAATATTAATTGAGGTTTTCACAAAGAAATACTAGCCGTTAGAATCCCCCTTCTCAAGTAGTACTACATACGATAAGTATTTTAGTGGGTGAGTTGCTCACGCGTGGCAATTAAAATTACGCAAAGAGATTCAAAGCCAGTCCTTACTTGGTGTGGCATACGAACGGCTAACCGATGTTCTATCGTAACAGAGGGCGGGGGGGGGGGGGCTTGGAATGCACAGCACGCACACATACAAAAGGAATAACAGAAGACGACACATGTGCTGCGCATTCCTGGCGCTGTGCATTTCGCGAACCTCCCCCCTTAGTTAGTATGAACGAACATCGACTCGCCAACTCTTTATTTCACTGAATCGATGTTTTAGCCAGGGCGTTCTAGTACACTCAGAAAAGGCTTCTGGCAGCGTCGATGATCAAAGTTCAACGTTTGTAAAAAAATTTTCGCCGACGTCACTTGCCTTATCTGAGTAACCTGTCCTGATTGTATACCTGTCGTACGCTGCAGGCCCTTCAGCAGCGCGTGGCCCTGGCAGCCATCGTCAGTCTAATGCTGGAGGACGGTGACGGACCCAAGCTGACGCACCGGGTGGCACGCCTCTTCCAGCGCTGCGCGCAGCTGGCGTTCAACGAGCAACACCGACTGGACGAGCTGCGAGCGTTTCTGGCGCGCTTCAACCTCAGCTGGCCCAAGTCACAACCCAGGTTCGACTGTACAGTGTTCAGTTTAAGGGCGAAGCTCCGTGCAGTCTAGAGCAGTCCCGCATCCCTCCGACGTAGGCATCACAGCATAGCCACAGACAGACAGACGGACAGACGGACGGACGCTTCGCCCCACTCTTCATGATTGACTCCGGGAATATTCTGCAATTTTTTTAGATGTAGAGCAGCCTATGGGAAAATCTAATCGTGGTGTGCGTAACAATTCCTACTAATACTGAGCATGCCCATCAGCTGCAGCAGAAGCATTACCAGAACGCACTAGCGTGTTCTGGCCTGTGTAAAAGGCTGGGTAAGACGCTGTGGCCTCTCTCTCTTACGTTCTCTCTGAAGTCACGTGATGGCGCCGGGGAACGAGATTCTGCTCACTCGCTATGAACCAACATGCTCCTGCGTGGCGTCCACTAACAAAGTTCGGGATGAGTCACAGCGACAGAAACTACAGTGAATTGATGGCGTGCTTCACTTGCAAGAGCCCGTTAACATTGGGCGAAATGCCCGTGATGAAATGTAAGTCGACCCATTCGCTGCTTCACATGCTATTCATGGTTCCCTTAAGTGGGAGATGGTGTAATTTTGTCTCTGGCATTAAATCGATATACAAGCCCCGCCGCGGTGGTCTAGTGGCTAAGGTACTCGGCTGCTGACCCGCAGGGCGCGGGTTCGAATCCCGGCTGCGGCGGCTGCATTTCCGAGGGAGGCGGAAATGTTGTAGGGCCGTGTGCTCAGATTTGGGTGCACGTTAAAGAACCCCAGGTGGTCTAAATTTCCGGAGCCCTCCACTACGGCGTCTCTCATAATCATATAGTGGTTTTGGGACGTTAAACCCCACATATCAATCAATCGATTAAATCGATATACAAGAGAAGATACAATGGAAGATTTGCCGGGATGCGTTATCTATTCCCATTGAGCTATTCCCACTTAGCGTCACTAGCAATTCTCAAGATGGTGTGCTATGCATTTCTACTGGCTGTACCTTGCGCGTCGCCGGCTAATCTGATACACTGGCGCAGCCCGGGTGAGGGGATGGGGTGGTTTAACCGTCCTCCCCGGTATATTTCAGTTTCACATATATACATACATACATGCATACATACATACATACATACATACATACATACATACATACATGCATGGATACATAAAGCACTGCTAAACTCCCCTCCCCCCTCACTGATTAAAATTTCGGTCGATGGCACAGAACGGCCTTGTCACCACGAGCTATTTTCATGCCGGTGTCCGCCACGCATGCTGTGGTGGTGGTGTGGTGCTGTGGTGGCACTGTGTTTTATCGGAAGGCATCGAAAGGCGATGCAGCTGGTAGCTACGTCATGCCGAGCTAAAAGATAGCGATGTGGAGGCTGTGCTGGAATATTCGCAGTTTGTGTCACCACGCGTTTATATGTGCCATGTTTTTCAGATATGCGGCTGTATACCTACCACTCTCACTTATGACTATTTTTAAACAGGCGATTTTTGTGGCGCTAAATCTATATTAATCACGAATAAACTCGCCCAAGCAGCAGTTTTAGCAGAATTATTAGGCTCTAACGAAAATAGTGGCACAAGGACTGCAACATTGCGCACCGCTGTCTCCAAGCATCTGCAGTCGTACTGCGTGCCTGCTTTGCGTTACACCACAAGTTGTGCGGTTGGCAGCCCACCAGTCCGTTCTCTTCAAATGTCGGTATTCGAAGCGCTGCCGCCTGCGCTGCAGGTCCAAGTTGGATATCCTGGACACACTGGTGGCCCTCTCCCTGGACTGGGGCATACCCGTGTTCTTCCATCTGAGCGTGGACACGTACTTCAAGCGCCGAGGCCTGCGTGTCCTGCACTTCGGCAGCAACCCGTACATGCTCGAGTGGTTCATGGCGCGCAATACTCTGCAGGAGAAAGGGACACTGCTCGCCTACTTTAACCGAGCCTCGATCATACTCAACGGCTCGAACGCATGTCCGGAAACCGTGGAAAAAGCAAGTAGAAAACTACGAAATGCCATAGTTCAGAATATTAGCTTATCGCAACCTTAGTGTTGCTGAGGATGTGCCCTTATAGGAATAGTTCACTCGTGATAAGCTGTAGGGTCGCTTAAGGAAGCCAGTTCATGCGGACATTTTAAATGCGGGAAAAGTGTAGTTTACGCAACGGAAATGTTGACCTAAGCGGGATGAAACTGTAGGGACTTCGCTTGATCTTTCTGTGTAGTTTGCTGGTGATTTTAAATTTACGTGTACAACTTTGCATTTCGTGAAAGATTAGGCTTTTCGCTTACAAGATAATACGCATCGGCTGGTTCTAGCTTGGGGATAACAGGTGTAACTTGGCCTTCCTCTTTTGCTTGAGCGTTATTATATTATCTGCTTATGCACTGCAGCTTTCAATCGGCTATGATCAATTGTGAATAAATTTGTGTCACAAGTGCCCCAACAGATAAACAATAAGCGTTTTCATCAGCATCGAAGCTGTAGCCTTTAGTACAGAAGATTGGATGTAAATTTAATATGATTTTATTCGAATAATCCCACAGCACAATTTCAGCATAACGTGGGCATATGGAGCAGGTGGGGCTGTGTTACAATGCCACAAAATGCAGGTTCTCATGCTGGACAACCGAGTGCTGTCCGCAGTAGTGCCATCGCTGATGGATCCACGACCTGACTTTGACATGGAGTACGTTACCTTCCGTCAGCTGGACTTCATCACCGGCCCGGAGCTCTCTGCGGCAGAATGGCTGCAAGTACGTTACAACAGTTGTGTGTCAAAGCGTGAGAACGATGTTTTGAGAGCTTTTGTTTCAACCATTTCAGGGCGTTGGGCGCACTATTTGGTGCACAAAGATTCTGCAAAAAAAAGAGAACTAAATGGGAGTGACCAATATAACACAACGCGCCCAATGCAGTTCAAGAAACTGTTCTGTATTTTTTGCCGTAAATGGAGATACAGCCACCCTTCTTTGTTAACCCGAACATGCGATCGTCAACCACCGAGTCAATATGCGCTGTTCAACGAAGCATGTCGGTGATATGAACGATAACACGTGCTTATACCTGTTTAACGGCCCTGTGCTGCTGTCTTTATCTAGGCTGTTCCGGGAACCGGACGATGGGACGCTGGTAACTGGCACTTATTGACTCGGTGATCGGAGCTCGTGCGTTCAGGTTCAAAAAACTGATTGACATGTGGGGTTTTGGGGTTTAACGTCCCCAAAACCACCATGTGATTATTAGGGACGCCGTAATGGAGGGCTCCGTTAATTTAGACCAACTGGGTCTTCTTTAACGTGCACCCAAATCTGAACACACGGGTCTACAGCATTCTCGCCTCCATCGAAAACGCAGCCGTCGCAGCCGGGATTCGAACCCATGACTTGCGTGTTTCAGGTTAAAAAATTACACGAATTCTGCATTATACAAAAAAATCGTTGTACATAGCGATTCTGATGTATTGCGGTATTTTGAGTGTTGTTCAAATGCGTGATCGGTGGCGTTTGAACAGAGAAACCGAGAAAATGTTGTCCGGCACTCGCATAAACAATTTCCGCGTAATTAGGGAGTTTCAGAATAGCGCACCGCGAGCCCTTGCGTGGCGGTCACTGCCACTGCGCATGCGTCGTACGCGAGCCGCCGTTCGCGTTAACGGTTTACCCGCAAAGAATCCGAGATAGCGTGCGGCGATCACGGCCCGTGAGGCCCGCGAAACGCTTGTTTCGAGACTATGTGTAGTTTCCGTGCATTTGAGTTTGTGGACCAGCTAAAGCTCCTAGATTGTTCCCTAGGAAGGGCAAACGTTATTCTAAATCTCCCTATTTCCTCAGATGAGGTAGCGTGTTCTGAAGTTAATTAAAACTGGCTATATACTAATATGGGCTTCAGATCCTGTCGGGCGACTTCGTAGTAACACTGGCGTTTCAAGGTGGAAGACCTCTATATGCGTTAGTAGTTGGTTGTTTCATAGGCGCATCAGCGGAAGCGGAGAAGGCTCTCGCTTTTCCTTTTCTGAAAAGAAGCGATAAGTTAACCGTGGTAGGATAATGACTTTATGTGTTAGTCATCCTTTGTAATATTTCATCTTTGCCCAAGCATGTGTCAACACTAGAATAGAGCAAATAAATAGCACTGCAGGTTCACCTTGTCAGGAAATGTTATAGAGATGAGAATGGTGGTGGTGGTAAAAAACATTTATTTCAGAAAAAGTCTACTAGAGAGTGCCGACGTGGCCCATCGGCGTGCTAGAGTGGCCAGACCCTATTCCGGGACGCCAGTGGAGCTGGAAGCTGCCCGTGCGCGCTCCACCAAGGAGCGTTGCGCAGCCAAGGTAGAGCAGCCCAGCAGGTGCTCCTCCCAAGCCTCTCTAGTTGGGATAGGAAAAGGGGATGAAAAAAGGGACGGGATTAACTGGGCACGATGCTACGACGTGATATGTGTCGGCGAGGACATGACAGGTCGAACAGGTGCTATTGATTTCCGGCAAAAAGTGCCTGGCGACCGCCGGACTGATAAAGGTGTTAGTCTGCAGGCGGCGTAGCAGTCGTTCGTCCGCTTTCTCCAAACTGCGTGCGGGGTCCGGGTAGAGGCGGCGCGAAGCCCGGTAATAAGCCAAAATTTCGCGAAAGCGCGTCAGGTTGGTATTGCCAGATTCCGTCTCGGGACATGGAGGGGCAACGGCCCGGACAGAAGAAGCGCGGGCAGCGGCATTTGCCGCCTCGTTGCCGGGCAGGCCCGAGTGGCCTGGGGTCCAGACTATACGAATGGGATGAGGGTTAAAGCGCCAAGAGGCTGCCTGTAGTAGGCTAGCCGCCGGCGGGGCAATGGAACCCTGAAGGTACTGAGAACAGGCCGAGCACGAGTCCGTCAGGATGGTGCGTGAGGCAGGGTGAGAGGCGGCCAAAGCTATGGCAACCTCTTCAGTGTGCGTTACTGTGTCTGCTCGAAAGGAGAGGCCATCTACGTGTTTGCCCTCTGTAATCATGGCAGCCGTGAAGTGACCCGAGTGGGAGGGACTCGAGACGTCCACGTAGAAAACACCAGGACGATCGGAGTGTCGCGTATGAAGGGCCGCGGCGCGTGCTAGTCTACGGCCAGGATGGAGGTCGGGGTTCATATTACGGGGTAGAGGTTCCACCCATAACTTTTGACGCCAGAGCTCTGGTACCGGCTGCAGAGGGTCTTGGTCAGATATCGGGTTAAGGCCAAGTCTGTGTAGAAGACGGCGCCCTGAAGGCGTCTGCGAAGAGGCACATGAGTATGCGAATTCGAGCTCTTCGCGCCAGTGAAAAAAAAAAAGCGTTTGTATTATTGGGAACGTTATTAGCCATTTTTCTTTCTAAGCCTACGTTTTTCATGCATTGTACTGTTAAAGCATGCTGCGACTTTATCTTCCTGCAGACTGTAAACCAGCATCTCCCCATCGACCTAGGCCTGGACGACGAGATCTTCGTTGTGAACCGGCGGCTGCTGCAGCTTCTTGCGTGGCTCGTCGCCGGCTTCGATGACCCCTCCGCGCTGCTCTCGTACATCACGTGGCACTTGGCGCGGCACCTGGCGCCCATGACGTCGTACCCGCTGTCGTTCGCCCAGTTCGCTGACGCTGCCAGTACGCCGGGTTCCCGGAGCGCCTACACCGCTACGCTGGGCTACATGATCAGCCGCTGCTACGTGGACGCCGACTCCAAGATGCCGTTCGCCTTTGCGCGCGTCTTCGCGCGGCGCTGGCTGCCGCCGCAAACGGCACAGAACGTGAGCGCCATGCTCTCTCGCATCCAGGCGATGGCCCACGCTACGATGGCCGCCGTGTCCTGGATGGATGAGAAGACCAAACGAGCTGCGTTCGAGAAACTGGCCACGCTGCGCTCCATCGTCGGCAGTCCCGACAACATGTCGTCGGACAGTGCCCTGCAGTCGCTGTACCCGTACGTGCCCGACTTGAACGGTTCGTACCTCGAGATGGCTCTATCATTGCACGTCGCGGAGCTGCGTTATGCCAAGAGGTTTCTGCGCCCAGCCAATGGGTCGGAGGCATCGTCCAGCCTACGGGTCAACGTGCCGTTGACTCTGGTCAATGCCTTTTACCTGCCCGTGTACCACGTGGTGGTCATACCGGCAGCCATCCTGTTCCCGCCCTTCTACATCACTTCGAATCCGGCGCCGTACAATTACGGCAGCCTGGGTCACGTATTGGGCCACGAGTTGACACACGCGTTCGACCCGGACTTGGGCCTGTATGGCCGCGACGGTCTGCGCCACGACTGGTGGACTCCGGCATCGCGCAAGATGTTCGAAGCGAAGCTGGCCTGCCTGCGCCGGCTGTACAACGAGATACCCTGGTCCGGTGGCGTCAACTTCGGCGACCACGCGCTTTCCGAGAACTTTGCCGACAGTGGTGGCGTGCTCAAGGCGTACCGCGCTTTCAAGGCTGCACCGAAGTTAGGTGCCGGGAACCAGCCAGCCAAAGACCAGGAGTCGCCGGTGCTGTCCCGGTTCAGCGCTGAGCAGCTGTTTTTTGTAAGCAGCTGCTTCAAGTGGTGTTCTCGGGACGAGAAACAGGGCCCCGGTTGGTACTCGCCACCGCGCATGCGCTGCAATGTTCCCCTGCTCAACATGCCCGAGTTCGCCGAGGCGTTTGAGTGTGGTGCAGGAAAGACGATGAACCCAGCGATTCGATGTGACTTTATGTGACGGCCGTACTTTCAATCGATTCAATTGCGCACGTACCTCGTGCGCCTTAGTATAGTTAATTACACGAGCAATTTCATTGACGTTTCGTTTATTGCCTATATTCGCACGAAATCGAAAATTGTAGAATCTTGCCGACAACGCTACTTTATCATTGTCGTAATTATCATCATCATGGCTTTGGAAATCACGTGAGTAAGCTCCACGTTGAAAGCGGTGCACCGTGGGATACCTCGTTCTCACAATAAAATGGTCAATCTTTCTGATTCTTTCATCGAAGTCTGACCATTCATTTGAAAGGTAAGTTAGAAGGCTATCCGCCCCACAAAAAAGTGAGGAGCACATTCGAATGCAAGTGCTTGCTCAAATGCAGTTCATTTCTACCGTACCAGACATGATAGAACCATGCTCGTTTCCTTTTAATTAGCCCCGTCCTCGGAAATGATTGCGCTATAGAGAGCGTGTTTCTCACAGTACTCTAAGCCGAGGAAGTGTACGTGGCGTCAAATGCTAATTCCCCCCCCCCCCCCGGAAATATTGCCCTGCCCTAGCTGAAAATTCGTGGTGTCACTCTGGCTAAAATTAGAAATGGCCTGACCCTTTCGCTCGCCTCTTCTCACTTATTTCGTCTCGATATAAATCGACGACTTATTCGCTTCTATTGGTAAACAATAAGGGCTTCCTAATGATGGAGCAACCTGCATTTTTTGGATTCGGTGTACGAGAACCAGTGTAACTGAAAAAGAATCTGCAGAAGCTCTACTGGGGTTGCTTGCTTGCTTTAACAGGTTGGCCGAAACTCCGACAGTTAATGTAAATATAAACATCAAAGCACAAAGGCAGAATAAGGGAAGGTATTGACATTTCCCCCTGCGCCTGAAATTACATTACATGTATTTCTTTAAATAAGTAAATGCTTCAAGCATACTGACACTATGTCAACTTCACGACCTTTGATGACGCTGCCGTTTTCAATTTGCTTGGTAAAATGATCTGCCATAAACGCGAAGAGGTGCAAGAGGCTGAACGCTTACCCACACTCTTCTGCACTGCCATCGTCGGTGCTATTCTGTCTTGTGTCGTCCTAGCCTTGGCTGCGCTACAAGTACATGGTGGTGCTCCGTCATCACGCTCCGTACAGCAGTCGGCAAGCTTAATTCCAACACTCCGCTCTGGGTCCCGACTTTTGAAACGATGTGACGGACCCTAGAGCCATGTAGCTTGGGACTCTGTTGCCGAGATGTTAACAATGTACGCCGACATAATGTCCAAGAATACCGTGCGGTGCCGAGATATTCTTGGGTTGCATTAGTCAGAACAGTCGAGGTTTCGCTGCATTGCCTTCGAGTTAAGTGTCCCGCTGCATTGCCTTCGACATCATTGCTGCCAGCTTATGCACAAACAGTAGGCGTGCTCTCATGAACGCCTCCTCAACAAGTATACGAATGCCTTAGATGCAGCTTGCGGCGGCTAGCATGGCTCTGTTAGCTCAAGGGGTAACGCGCGCGGGTTGTGAGTGAGTGGTCGGAGGTTCGAAACGCGCGATGTACCGCCTACCTTTTTTTTTTCTTTCATAGAGCTGACTGTTTTATTCATTACAAATAAGGGAATGAGAAAGTTTTCCTGGATGTGTCACCCAAGAAACCACCATGTCTGTACGCCGACATAGGTATTTCTGAATTTTGTAATATACGGCAGGCACTGGCAAAAGGAAAACTTTAGACACATTAGAAATCCCCTTGCTAAAATTACTTGAACGTGACCGTTTCTCCGCAACGAAACCACGCAAATACAATGAAGTAAGTGGTTGCCGGAAAGCACGATAATTTTGTTGCCATGAAATTACGTTCCAATCAGAGCTTAATGTTCTCCTAGTGGGTATGCTTCACCGCAATGCATGTCGAAAAGCAGTAGAAAAAGTTGAGGCCCTTATCACCCCCGATAAGGCTCAATTTTTCTCGGACGTCACTGCTGCAACGAAGCACAGAATGCGCGTTTATTCCTGGCTAAGTGCTCCTTGATACGTCAGCTTCACTGCAACGTATGTCGAAAAAGAAGTCGAAAAAGTTCAGGCTCTTATCAGCCGCGATAAGACTCAACCTTTTTCTGACGTCACATCTAGCAACGATGCCCAGAATCCGTGTTTATTCCTGGCTAAGTGCTCCTTGATACGTCAGCTTCACTGCAAAGCATGTCGAAAACGCTGTCGAAAAAGTTCAGACTCTTATCAGCCGCGATAACACTCAACTTTTTTTCTGACGTCACATCCAGCAACGATGCACAGAATGCGTGTTTATTCCTGGCCAAGTGCTCCTTGATACGTCAGCTTCACTGCAAAGCACGTCGAAAAAGCAGTCGAAAAAGTTCAGGCTATTATCAGCCGCGATAAGACTCAACTTTTTTCTGACGTCACATCTAGCAACGATGGAGCTAAAGGCACATTTTTCGTCCCACAGATGACAAAAACAAAGCAAAAAATTTTCTCACGGTATGTGCTGCTGAGAAGCCAACTTCTTGCCCCGAACTTGCGGAGATGGGTTTCCGCGATGAAGGTGAAATAAACTTATTTGGTACTGATGAAGCTGATCAGACACCGCCCGAAGGGGGGTTGAACGCAGTTGCTGGCCACACCCATGCCGGCAGTGCAAGACCATGGCCCTCCGCCAGTTCGCAGGCCTCCTGGACAGCTTTTACGGAGCGAATATATTTCTCTCCAAACTTTCCTTGACAGCGACCAGACGGCCCGGCCTCGTGATGACTGTCCTTCAACACGCACAAGATGCTAAGTGAAACGTCAGGCAAAAGTTGGGTCTTAGGAAAATGTGGAGAGCATCTCCGTAATAACGAAACCCCAACACCACAAATCGTGAGAATTTGGCTTCCCAACAATCAGAGACCGTGGGAAAATTTTTGGACTCGTTTCTGTCACCCGTGGGACAAAAAATGTGCCTTTAGCTCCATCGCTGCTGCATGTGACATCGCACAAATTTGAGCCTTATCGAGGCTGATAAGGGCCTCAACTTTTTTCACTGCTTTTTTGACATGCATTGCAGTGAAGCAAACGTATTAAGAAACACTTATTTTGGAATATACGTGAACTCAGTGCACGGTTGCAGTGAGTGACGTCAGACAAAAGTTGAACCTTATTGGGGCTGATAAAAACCTCAACTTTTTCAACTGTTTTTTTTTTGACATGCAGTGCAGTGAAGCGAACGTACCAGGAGGAGGTTTAGCTGGGAAACATGTCTTTTTTTCTTATGAAAGCCGCTTGGTCGGTCTTACAAAGCCAGAAATTGTATGAGAAGAGGCATGGAGAAGTCTGCTTTATAAACAAAGGTTCATTATCACACACAGTTGTTACTCTGAGGACATTCAGGTTTGATTTCTTGTTATAATGCGTAATCAGTCACTCATGGTGGGATAAACCAGGATATCTCGGTAGTCGCTTTGTTGTGGGTATATAATAGGTATAATAGAGAGCATTATGGTGACCTTTCGTTAACACAATAGTGTTAAAAGGCTCGTTTCCCAGAAGTTCCTGTGTCAATGCCGGCACCGTTGGTTGTGAGAGAAAATGCAGCGTTGCCGTGAGCGAGGTTCAAGGTAAACTAAATAAAAAGTTTTGAAAAATTCGGGAAGAATTTTGACCAACTCTCACTGAGAGAGCAACGTGTATGTCTTATGGATGCCCGCTCAATCTTCCCTCCCGGGCAACGAAACCACCCACACCTTAGCTCGAGAGTTCGTGAGCCGAGCAGGTGCAGGAATGACGCGAAGCCCGCGTTTGGAGAGAAAGCCCGCATGGTATACAACGAAATCACCTGACAGTACCGATTAGGGAGGCAGCATTATTTTTCACCACATTCCTAAATAAATAAACAGCAGTGGACAACATGGCACTTATTACAAACAATCAACTTGATTGATATGTGAGGTTTAACGTCCCAAAACCACCATATATGATTATAAGGAACGCCATAGTGGAGGGCTCCGGAAGTTTAGACCACCTGGGGTTCTTTAACGTGCACCCAAATCCGAGCACACGGGCCTACAACATTTCCGCCTCCATCGGAAATGCAGCTGCCGTAGACGGGATTCAATCTCGCGACCTGCGGGTGAGCAGCCGAGTACCTTAGCCACTAAGCCACCACGGCGGGGCAACAAACAATCTCCTTCCCAAACCCGATTGCTTACAGTCATTACTATTCAGATCTCTACTCCAACAAATGTTACCTCTGAAATCAACAGGCGGACCACAAACACATTATCCGGGGTTGTCCTAACCTCGTGAAGGGGCCAAATTTCAAATATTTCAACGCACAGCAGGGGGAGGCCGTGCTGCTTAGCTCAAACATACAGGACCAGCTACAAGAAGTTGGCTTCCCAACAGAACAGACCGTGGGAAAATTTTTTGACTCGCTTTTGTCACCTGCGGTACGAAAAATGTGCATTTAGCTCCATAGCTGCTGGATGTGACGTCAGACAAAACTTGAGCCTTATCGGGGCTGATAAGGGCCTCAACTTTTTTCACTGCTTTTCGACATTCATTGCAGTGAAGCGAACGCATCAAGAAGCATATGCTCGGAATATGCGTGGAATCGGTGCACGGTTTCAGTAGTGACGTCAGAAAAAAGTTGAGCCTTATCAGAGCTGATAAGGGCCTCAAACTTTTCGACTGATTTTCGACATGCATTGCAGAAAAGCAAACGTATTCGGGGAAGTTTAACTAGGAAACACGCCGTTTTTTTTTTCTTATGGCAGCCGCTTGGTCGGTCTCACAAAGCCGGAAACTGTACGAGAAGAGGCATGGAGAGGTCTTAATTATAAACAAAGGTTCATTATCGCACACAGTTGTTGCTCTGGAGACATTCAGGTTTGATTTGTCGTTATAATGCGTAATCAGCCGTTTGTGGTGTGAGAAACCGAGAGACCTCGGTAGTCGTTTCGTTGTGGGTACATAAAAGGTATAATAGAGAGAATTACGGCTATCTTTCCTTAACACGATAGGCTTAAAAGGCTCGTATTACAGGTGTTCCGGTGTCAATGCTGGCACCGTTTGTTGTGAGAGAAAATGCAGCTTTGCCGTGACTGAAGTTCAAGGTAGTTAAAAAAAAATTTTTTCCGGGTCGAATGTGGTGATTCGAACCTGTGATCCCCTGCTCCTTGACGCGATGTGCTAATCCACTCTGCCATCATGCACGCACCCTTAGACGTGTTAATGGCAAGCTGCTTATATACCACGTTT